TGCTGTGTCGATTAGTTTAATTCTGGCCATTTTGCTGTGCATTAAGTCACGTGTATGCTGTGTCGGTATATTTCCCCTAAATTAGATGCTCAAAAAGCACAGGTATGGCTAGAATGTACACTCCAAACATGTACAATGACTTCCAAAAGTAATAAAACATACATGACCAAAAGATCACCTTAACACCAAAAAAAAATTAAAATAAAATAATATTAAATTTTAAAAATAACCTGACCAGCTGGCTTTTTTTAAAAAATTTTTTAAAAATTTTTTGAAAACCACCCGGCTATTAAAACATAATAAGTTTTCAAAATTTGACCTGGCCGGGTTATGAGAAACAATTAATTTGTATAGCTTAATTTGCGAATCAAGTTTTTTTTTTTTTACGTTGTTTTTTGCTTAACAAATGAGATTTTATCGACGTAGTGATTGTTAACTTATAACTTCAGCAGGCAAAGTGTAAAATAAAAGTTGGTGAATTAAAATGGATTAAGCGAATATGACGAAAACTTCAAGTTTGCTTAGTAGACTTATCCACGTTTCGTAGAAGGGGTAGGCCCAAATTTGGGACGGTCCCTCCTGAAAACTGCGGCTAGATGGATTTTTAACAGCCCTAAATCTGGAAATTTCACCTGACACCGTCATGCTTTCAGTTTTTCTATTATGGCAACACTATCACCCGAAATACTTGCTCGCTTCGAAAACATAAATAAGCGTCAACTCGAGCTAGAAACAAAAGTTACGCAACTAAAGAATGTAATCGCTTTAACAACTCAACAAGAGTTATATACAGAAATTAGGGATGGAGTGAAGGAACTCGAGAAATGGATAGAAGTAAATGACGTATCTGTATATTATAAATTTTTTTTGTTTTTATGATAGGATAATTATCTGAATTTAATTTACAGGACATCAAACAAACAGCGGATGAACAAGAGCGTGAAAAAGATAAACAAACTATTTTACATAGGTTACAAAGGAATGAAGAGCAATACAAACAGTAGGTTGAAATTAAAAAATATTATTAAATTTTATCTTCATATTAACAATATGTCTTTTCTAGGTTACAGGCTTCAATTCGGCGAGCTGTTTTGACATCTAAGCAAAATATTGAAAGGGAGGCGAAAATAGAGCGTGAAATGTTGTTAGGACGTGTGGATGGGCGAAACTCATTTGCTTTTGAAATGCGGAGACGTAATTTCACGTCAGTATATCTATTTGTATTTTTCATGATCACCAAATTTCACTAATTTATTTGAGATTATTTAATCAGATCAGAAGATGCACTATTGCATTCAGCTAGTGATGTTACTGATGCATTACGACGTACTACCCAATTAATGCAACAAGAAATTGAACGTAGTGCCTACTCAGCAAAAATACTTGGTGAGAAAGCCTTATAACATTATTTATAATGATTTATGTCGTTTATTTAATAATTTCTATTATTTGTTTTTTTTATTATTATGAAAACTCTATTTAGACGAGTCATCTCGTGCACTGAAGTCCACTTACAGCGAATATCGAGGATTTTCATCAGTTTTGCGTGGTTCTAAACAATTAATTACCAAATTAGAACAGATTGATTGGACGGATAGGCTACTCATTCTATTTGGTCTATTAGTGTTTGTCTTAGTTGTGTTATATATTCTGAAGAAAAGAGTGTGGAATACTGGTTTTGGCTGGATGTCATGGTTCGCCTCTTGGGTTATTTAGAAGCAATCAGGCTTTTAATGTAAATATACTGAATGTAGACAATTAAATTAGCATGCTTAGAGATTATTAATCAGGATAAATATAATTTTCAAGTTTTATTATCAACATTTTACTACGTACACAAAGAACTTCTGAGCTTTAACAAAAAAATTTCTTATTATATTTGCTATGCTTTGCTCTAATTTTTACTGTATATTGGTTTTAAGATTTATAAGATCTAATTAGTTATATCTAGTTTTGACATGATCGGTTTAAACAGGTTGAATTGTATTAATTTTATCTATTTTTTAATTTAAGGGTTGGGTGTATATAGATCATTTATTATATAATTTTAGTGGTACAATGAGATTTATAAAAATGTGTTATTAATAAATTTTTTATAAGGTGAAATTCACCGGGGTGCTATATCTTGAAAACTCACTATGAAACAGGGGTCGGGTAGGTTAAGTAAAAATGTTCAGGACCTCTGAAAACCTTATGAAAACTTAAATCGGGACCTTATATCTACTCTACATCAAAAAAAAAAAAACCTAAAACCGCACCCTAACTCTAAAATTCTTATGCTGGTGAATTTTACTACCAGTAAATTCAAAATTTATATTATATAATATATAGTTTTTTTTTGATATTAAGATAATTTTTTGGTTATTTGTTCTGAATAAATATTAATGTAACATCCTGTTACATTAATTATTTGTTAAGGTATATGAATCTAAATGTATATTTTATGTAACATAATAGCTCTTTTACTTTTTTTTTTTATTTAATAGAACCTACTTTGTATTATCTCTTTAGCACTTCATGAATTCTTTATTTCTAATCTTTATTTCAGACAGAACCTAACTGATCTTGCGACTTGACAATGTTCTATAATTATTTTTAAACCTAACTAATCTTGAGATGCAACAATGTTCTTTCACTAATCTTGAGATGTGACAACATTCTTTAACACTAATCTTGAGATGTAACAATATTCTATTTTTGAATAAAATATTTATATATTATATATTCATAAACTAATAACTTTAAAATTGAACAGGCAAAAGTAATCTCCAAATATGTTTGATCAAGTGATTAATATTGAAGTAAACACCTTTTACATGGTCAATATTAGTACTTTCAATATGGTTAAGATTAATACTTTTATACGATTAATGCTAAAGTTAGTATCTCTTACATGGTAATAATTAATTAAGCAGAGAATACTAAAGCTAGTACCTTCTATGTGGTTAATATTCAAACTGACACCTCTTATATAATTGATAATAAAGTTAATACTCTCTATGAAGATGTAGTTTATAACAAATCTAGTTCCTCTTATAAAAATACAACTACTGAGAAGGTTAATAATATAGATATGAATAATAATATAATAAGAAAATTGTATATTGTTTTAAGTTTAATCTGATATTCTAATTTTTGCAGAAACATCTTTAAGTGAGATACAGTATGATTTTTCTTTGCTAAAAGTTAAATATACTTTCTGTTTATAAGACTAGGAACCGGAACCCGTTTAAAGTCCAGAGCTCATTATTGTCATCTTACACAAACGCATAAACGTGCATAATTTTTTTTACACAATGTACAAATATAGACATGCGGCGTTACAGACAGAAAATGCTGAAACTACTTTTTTGATCTTTTTATTATAGATGCATCAAAATCGTAATTTCAGTCATCAAAGCGCATAGAAGTATGAGTCCTCCGCTTTGCTCCGGACAATAATATTAATGTTTTTTTTAAAGCCTATAGTCAGATCAATACAGTATGTTTGTTGTTATTAAAAAAAGAACTGAGCAACGTAATGATAGTATAATTAGGCACTAGTCTTTTGGATGTGAATTTGAAGGAAAATACATATCCAAAAAGAGTATGCTCATCATAATCAACTATCAAAACATAAAGGATGTGAATAGCATATTAATCTTAGTTTTTTTAAAAAATCTAACTATATTATAGTTACAATATTTATTAATACCCATAAGCATGTTTAGAACAAATAGAACATATAAGAAAAAGAAAGCGATTAAAGTTTAAACTGCACAAGGTGAAAGGACACAACGGAATAAAAAGGAATAAAGAGGCAGATAAACTAGCAAAAGAAGGTGCAAGATCGAACAAGATTATCGAAGTACAGCTACTATAGACCAAGCTAATACATGTTGTACCTAGGTGGAAAGGGTTAATAGTGGATAAGCTTATCAGAAATTTTGTAAATTGAATCACAACAGTGATTCTAGATGCAGAATGGGCAGGATTAAGTAGAATAAAGAGATGGGTAAAGAAGGAAAGAGATGATAGTTTAGATTGGAAGAAAACATAGAAATATATAGAAGGGGTAAAGGGTAATAATTGTTTAGATAGCAAAACAAATGATAAGTGGGGTCCCAATTATTTATCTGACATTTATTTGCTTGACAATTACTTTCTCGACAACCATTTGCCTGACAATTACTTGTCTAACATCTTCATTTGTCTAACAATCATTTGCTCTACACCTTTAAAATGTTAAGAAAGTAATTATAAATTAAAAAAAGATGTCAGCCAAATGATTGTTAGGCAAATGAAGATGTTGGGCAAGTAATTGTTGGGCAAATGGTTGTCGAGAAAGTAATTGTTGAGCAAATAAATGTCAGGCAAATAATTGGAATCCTGATAAGTGGATATTTAGGGTGAAATGTTTAAATGAAGTACTGTCAACAATAACGGAGCTCAAGTCTAGAAGGCCTAACCTATACAAGACCAACAAGTGTGTCACGTGCCAAGAAAAACCAAAAACAATAGACCATTTAACAAGCTGCATAAACTATTAAAGTATATAGAGTATAATAGAAGAAAAAACATGTAATAAAATAGAGAAAATCATAAAAAAGGAAAAGAATTCGCTGAAAGAATACCAACTAGAGATACAATTAAAGAAAATATTTTTGGTGCATTTAACACAGAATGGATAGAAGTGAGAAGTCACATGATTAGAGGCCTAATTAAGAAAGAGCAAAAACAAAGATTAGAGAACATGCTCCAAAGCAGAAAAGCAGCTAGCAAAATAATAAATATAGTACTTAATAAGTTGGGTGAAAGATTTCATCAGCACATCTGAAATTTTAGATGTGAGCTACAAATAGTGTAAAAAAAGAGAGAAGGAATCTCAAAAAAAGATAAGAAGACGAAAAAGGCCAACAAGAAAAAGAAAAAAAGAAAAAAAGAAAACGAAGAAAATAAAGAAAATCAAGTATAAACAGGAGAGCAGAAAAATAAGAAGAAAGAACATGCAAGAGCAGTAGTATTCAAAATATGAAAAACCTAGTGTAGAATGGTAGGAAACCAGATTGGTCATCATAGGTAAGATGTAAAGTTAAAACAGATTTAAATAGCAGTATTGACAAGGGAGTAGTTGCCAGCTTGTGACCAAAGAGATCAAATCCTTAGTGAGTTAAAGATCCAGAAGGAGGCCAAGGACTATTGAGGCAGGTCACACCTGGGTATAAGCTGAGGGTGAGTCTCTAGTTTGGTTAGATTAGCAATAGCTACAGATAGATATATATAATTCTTGAATAGCTTAATCTTAAATAAACAGAGGCAGGATTGCCGAATTAAAACAAAAATACTCATAAGCATGAACTTCATTCTGAAATTTGTAAATATAATGCTAAATTCAGGTCTATTAATAAGGAAGCACTAAATGATTTTAAATTTTATACAAAAAATAGAAAACTTGGATATTCTATAAAATAGGTGGGCAAACTCTGCAAACTCCACAACTCTGATATTAAAAAATTAATGATTACTAATCATTAGCGAAGCTTATTTCTTATATTGCCTACATATTCTATAGAATATCTGAAAACTTTCCATTACATACAATGCTAATTGCTAAGAGCAAAATATCCAGATGCAAACTTTTTTGATATGAATTTTGCTAATACTATTTAATATTATAAAATTAAATCTAAAGATCTTGAAAATAATATTTTATAACTTTTATTGTTTCTTATTAAGAAGTATTCAGAGGAGTTAGGTTGGAGTGTTAAATTCGAGTTAAATAGTAACAATTGCCTTATTTAGCTTTTTTGAATGACTTTTAAACAGATATTCCTTTGGCTTGAATATTGTGATATTGTTCTTAATGATAATACAGCTAAAATAAATCACTATTAGATGCCTCTTAGCTTGTTTTTCATTATTAATAATAATACAAGATCTTATTTGTTTGCATATACATTAATTTCTGATAAAACTATTAATTCTTATTAATGAATTCTTCAATATACTAAAAAAGCTACAGGAGCTGAGCCTATAATCTTTGTAACAGATACAGATCCAGCAATAGATAGTATATTAAAACAAGTATATAAATATACTAATTTATTATATTATATTTATCACATCAATCAAAACCTTTCAAAGAATCTAAAAGGTATTTTAAGTAATATATATAATCAATTCATTAAGAAATTTTTTCTTTGTCATAATACTCTAGACAAAAAGCTATTTGAGTCAAGATAAAAAATCAATTAGAAAAGTATCTATCTGCTTCAAGTTATTTAAATCAGACTCTTTATTCTAATCGCTTTTCATAAACTTGTGTCTTTATATCAAAAGTTTTCAAACTACATTATATGTAGAAGAGTATGTTATGCTAGATATAGATTTATGATTATGATTAGATGTAAGATTTATAATTAAAGTTAAGTATAGATTTATAGTTTAGGTTAAATATAAATTTATAGTTAGAAATAAATATAAATATATGATTATGTTAGAATTAGGATATTGTATAGGTAAATAACTTTAAAACCATATCAGATATTAGTTGAAATCAACTTATTCGAAGTTAACATTTATATATTTTGATTTAAAGCTTTAGAATTGCTTATTTTCACCCTTAGATATCAGCTAATATCTGACATATTTTACAAATTTTATTTATATTACAGATATAATAGTATTATCAAAGTACTTCTGAAATCTGTATTAGGTTATACATGATCTACAAATCA